AAGGGCTAATATATTAAAGAGGAAAAGATACAGATGGGCTGTGTGAGTGGGTCTAAAAGAAGGCCTAGCTCACACAATACAACACACAAAATTCCAAATAAAACAAGATACATAAAGATAAAAAATCAAAAACCATCAATAGGCGCAAAAGACGTCCCACTTTAGTCCTCCCTTCCCTTTCCCCCTAGTTCTCGGAAGGGAGCCGACTAACAAATTGGTAAAGTGCGTACCATTACCCGAAGTAACCAAAATATCATCCATCAATTCCTAAGATCAAGTAGGTCTCCATTTTTCTTCTTCCTCTTGGATGTGTAAGCCTGTCATTCTTCATCTAATCAATGGATTGATCTAAAGGTGGTCAGACAGGTGTAGGCTGTTGTACATCATGATTCCCATGAGCTTGAGTAACACTAACATTTTGCTCAAACTGATAAGACGGTAGTAAAGCAATAGAAGTATTGTCACCTATAATATCAGTGATAGGTTCTAGAGTAGATGGGGTTTGAAGAATCTCCCTCGCCCCCACGATAGGAAGTTCCAAAAACAGGGGAGCTACAATATTGTGTGGAGATTGAATGGTTGACATATTGTCTGCGAGGATAATGACGTTTTCAGGGGTATTCTTTTGATGATCAATAGTGTTAATAACTTATAGCTGATCAGGAGCAGATGGATTCACTGCCTCTGGCGGAACACTTTATTTTTGGTCTGAGGTGGGGGTGTAGATGGTGGCATTGAGAATTAGAGTGGCCAAAAATACGACAGTTCAAATAATACGAAGTAAAATGCTCAATCACTATCTTTTGCTAATATCTATGGTGCTGTGTGCCAAATCAAATTTTCTCAGAAGCGGTTGAAGTGATGTTTCTTTTACCAGGTACTCTGGCTTCAGATGAATGAGAAAAATTAAAAGTAGGAATGTCCATTTTGAGTGACTTGCCATAAGTTGAGACAATAGAGTACAACACTTTTTGAGCAAAGTAATGAAATTTCAGATCAGGGAGACAAATTCAAACCAGAATGATTAGTGGTTCCGTTTGTGGGTCAAAATTCACAGACCATTTCAAAATCTTCATTGCTCTGTTATCAATCTAGATTACTTTTCAAGCAAATAATCACATGTTATGCTCTTCATTATTAAATTGAATAAGAACGTGCCTTCCATCTAAAAGTCCAATTTTCCACTCTCCAACAAGGTGCATATGCTCAAATTTCTTACGGATAGCTCTATTTTGGGATGGTGATACAAAAATTTCCTGACCAAATTCAGACGACAGGAGGAAGCAAGTTGAATACCTTTAACTTCTGTAAAAAAAATGACAAACTTCTCATTCTTTCTACCAGGTTTCTTGATGTTCTCCACCCACTCAAACGAAGGAGGGAAATAACACGATTTAGGAGTATCTGAGGCGTGGACACCCACAAGGGCAGCAACATACGATCTGTTCGAAGCCATCTCCAATAGATGGAAGTGCTGCATTAAGAACAATGAATAAAATAGAAAGCAAGTTACGATTCCAGAATAGGGAGCAAAGAGCGGGATAGAGGAAAACCCCTCTGTGATCTGCATACGATTTGAGCAGTCGCCGCAGCGGCAGACAAAGAGGAAGGACTGCGAGCGGTAGCAAAGAGATGCTCTCGAGCTTGACGACTTCTCGGGACAACGATGAGCCGCAGAAGCCCGCACTCAGACGTCCTTTAAAAGCCAAAGGACTACGAGAGACAGCTGAGACAACGCCCCTGAGCCCGACGACTTCGCGTGAGAGCCGCTGATTCTTGGGACGACGAACAGAAAGAGCCGCTGCGATGCGACACTGAAAACTGGAGACAAAGATGAAGAGGACGAAAGACAAAACAGTGCTTGATCGACGAGGAAGCAGTGAAGCAGAAAAACCAGAGTTCGCCATAGGCGAATCCTCGCAGAGAGAGAGTGAGGTCGACGAAGCCATATATATATATATATATATTAAAAGTCGGAAGCTATTATACGAGCCCTGACTATCCCTCATGTGTCCAAGAATTCGAGTACCACACCCTACACTCATGGGGAATCAAACCCCAGACCAGAGGGGATTTACAACTGACAAGCAGATGCCCGACCAACTGATCTGAGATTTCAAAATTGATAAAATATTGTACATTAAAATATTTCAATATAAATAACCATACATCATTTAGTTAATTTATCAATAATAATACTTTGTAATTTTTTATAGATATTCTGTCGCACAAGTGATTGCAAACAAAATTATCGAAAAGCAAAGTGAGTACTCTTACTTTTAAATTTATGGTAACATTTTTTATTCTTTTTAATCAATTGTATTGATAGTTATTGGTTCAGTTGTAAGTTTATCCTGAATTATAAGCTCTACTTTATTGTTCATATTTGAATGTTTTCTCTCCATATAGTAGTAATTATTATATATTTTTTTAAAAATACATATATTATATTGTATGTCATAAGATAATCATATGAATGATATTGATTTTATATGTTTGTATGTGCATGATTAACTATGATGTCATTCATCTCTTTATGGTACTAGCAGAGAACGTTAATGTACTCGTGCATGTAAATTAAAAATGATAATGATATTGATATAGGAGTACTTTAAATATTATAATTTTAGACGATGATCTTGTGACGGTTGTAGAAATATAAAGTGATATTGTCATGTTATTGATAAAGTTAAATAAATTAAATGCTATGAAATATCGTGATCGATCATATTTATAAATTATTAATTTCTTTTATATTGATTTATTAAAAATTTAACTAGTATACATATTATTTCATTTTCAATACATACTGTGGTTTAGAAGTAGGTGTTCTTATTGATATTTTTGGCTTACTGTTGTTTCCAATTAATATTACAACTTTTAATCATTTCATTGAAATATGAGCAATATAAGATGAAATATTTATAAACGACATCGACAACTATAAATATGGTAATTTAACTGTTTTACTTTAATTTGTTTTATAGTGGCTCTCATTATTAAAATGTTAGTATGAAAAATGAAAAAAAAAAAAAATTCACCGTTTGATCGCTTGTTCCCATCTGGTTAATTCCAAGCCGCAGGTCGAGTTATGACTAAAGTAGCATCAAAGAATGTTTAGGATTAATTAATGTAATCTTGACAAATGAGGCAATAGAATAATTACAAAAAAATTAATAATTATAAATTTGAAAAAATAAGCTAACTCTAACTAAGTAATTATATTAATTCGGACAAATGAATGCACTTGAGATTATGGAAGAAAGGAGTTCATTGAAAAATGAAGAAATACCATCTATTATACATTTGAATAAGAATGTCTTGATTCAGATGATGTCAGTCATGACTCGGCTAATTTAAGAGTCCAGACTTTGGTATAGTGAGGGTGAGACTATTATTGTGAATAAGTACTTGAACAATTGCAAGATCTGCGTTCACCTTTTTTTAAAGGAATTGACGATTCAATGGAAGCAAAAAACTGGTTGATACATATAGAGTAGATGTTAGATAGCATGGTGTGCTTTGATGAAAGAAGAGTATTATAACTACATTTATGTTAGGTGGAGAAGCAGAAAGGTGGTGGCATGGGCAATATCAGGATATACTTGGGGATGTACCCAATCTTATGGTAAGTTGAGCCCAATCCGCTCAATGATCGATGCATGATAAACTTATTAAGTTGGTGCAAGGAGTGAAGTCGTTTATGTACTATGAAACAATGTTCACTGTACTTTCAAGGTATGCTCCATAGTCGACAATTACTACAAAAAGAAGTGTTACTTATTGTTTTTGGGATTAAAGTATTCAATCATTCAACCATTGATGCTTTTGGGGATTGATGACTGCTCATTGTTAGTGGATCGACTTAGATGAGTAGAGATTGATTTTTAGGTTATTCAGAAACGTAAGAAAACAGACAAAAGAAAGAGCATTTATGAAGGAGAGTATGTGGATTAATCAGAGGAATTCCATGTGAGGAAGCCTAAATTCACTTTTGATAGATTTAGTGGTGATACTTCTCGTAGTACCGTAATCACGTGTGCTAAATGTGAAAAATAACATTAGGGTGAATGTTTGATGAGGTCCAACACATGCTAGTGACGCCATCAACTTGATTATATAGCTAGATATTGCCCAATTGGCTAGAAAATATCAGAACAAAAACCAAGTGGAACTCCTTCCTAGAGGAATGCAGGTGAGCAAGGGAGCATAGAGTTCACAGTTCAATTCCTATTCAAGTTCAAGCAAGAAAGCCAGTTTGACCTCAAGTTTATTCCCTTATTAGTAGAGAGCCTAAAGAACTTACTGTTGATGTTGATGCTGCTAGGGATTGGTGAGTGTTATATTTCATCACATGTTATAGGAATATCATTCAAGTTTGTCTTTATTAGATGATGTGTGCTGTTGTTGTTATTTTACCTTGCTTTTGATTTGATGTTATCATGTTTCAGCTGATAGGGAACTTTAGTTTAGTATCAAATCTTTATTTTATTTTATTCACTTTTCATCTTAATGAATGAGCTCTAGAGTTCTAATGAGAAATGATTTGAGACTTGGGGTAGATTTGCAAATTTAGATTTTGAAATTTTATAAGGATAGATTGCAATAACTAAAATAAATAAATAAGTAATAATGACCTAATTATTATTAGAAGTTTCAATCAGTGCAATTGTTTTGGGCGAAAACAAAATGCTTCGATAGTTTCGTTTTAAAGCGAAGTGTCCCATTCAAAGCGAAGGAATCTTGAAACGGTCGAGAGTGAGAGAAGGAAGAAAAAGAAAAAGAAAGAGGAGAGGTCCAGTGGATGAACCTCGCATGTTGGTAGCAACAAAACATCTCTTCGATGTCGAAAGACTTAGATTTCAGAGAGAGAGAGAAGCTGAATGTGATCAAAGAATATAAGGACTTTATTGAACTGCTCTGCGTGGAGGAAGAGGAGGACGCTGCATGTTGGCTTTGTATGGGAGGAGGTGTTTTCAAACAAGTTAAAGGAGATGACATCAAAGAACAGCTCACACATTCGATTATGTGGCAAGAGAGATTTACCTGAGGGTGAGAGCAAATGTTACGACATAAAGCTTGGGCGTGATCCATTTCATGTCGAAGTGTTGTCGTGCTTGAAGGAGAAGACGAGAGGAGTTTTTGCTGGTTTTACTCTCGTATGAGAGTTTAAGTCGAACCGAGTGTTTTCGGGTTAAGGGAGCCAAGCAGATGAGGTAAGGTTTACAAAATTTGTATATAATATATATATATATA